GGAGTAGACTTTGACCACCTCGAATGGTCCATCCCATCATGATCTCAATTTACCGGGGAAAAGACGAAGGCGTGAGAGAAAAAAAAGGACTTTGTCTCCAATTTGGAAGTCCTTTCTTATTATCATTTTATCATGCCATACCTTCGTCTTCTCCTTGTAGATGGCGGCGTTCTCATAGGACTCAAGTCAGAGCTCCTCTAGTTCTTGTAGTTGCAGCTTCCTTTGGATCCCTACTTGTTCTATGTCAAAATTGTACTCAAAATAAGTCTCATTGGGCGGTAAAAACGCTGAATCTTGACATAGAACAATAAGACTTATTTTGAGTACAATTTTAACATAGAACAAGTAGGGATCCAAAGGAAGCTGCAACTACAAGAACTAGAGGAGCTCCGACTTGAGTCCTATGAGAATGCCGCTATCTACAAGGAGAAGACGAAGGTATGGCATGATAAAATGATAATAAGAAAGGACTTCCAAATTGGAGACAAAGTCCTTCTTTTTCTCTCACGCCTTCGTCTTTTCCCCGGTAAATTGAGATCACGATGGGATGGACCATTCGAGGTGGTCAAAATCTACTCCCACGGAGCGGTTGAAATAAAGAGCCTCGACAGTCGACACCGGCAAAATCCTCAAGGTTAACGGACATCAACTCAAACCGTTCCTTGAATGTTTCCAAAAAGAAAGCGTTGAATGCATGGATCTCTTCGATCCAATCTATGAAGAATGAACACAATCATGGCGTCGTGCCGCGACGTTAAATGAGGTGCTTCTTGGGAGGCAACCCAAGCAAGGTATGTTTTCTTTTCATTATTTTTCAGTAGTGTGTGTGTGTTTCCTTTAAAACAAATAATAATAATAAAATCAAAATACCTGGGGATATACCCGCTCGAGTATGCATACATACTCGGTCGGGTATTGATGAAAAAGAGAACCCGAGTTCAGTACTCGATCGAAGTAGCCAGATATTTCAAAAATGGAGGCATATTCGATCGGGTATATTTCTTTACCCGGTCGAGTATGAACTGAAAGGAGAAACAAAAAAAAGCCTGTCTTCAGCACTCGATCGAGTACATAGCTCAAAATGTGCACAAATAAGAATACCCGATCGGGTATTAACACATACTCGGTCGGGTATGTCCGGATAATAAACACCACCAGACCCCTGTCTCTGAGGCCCGATCGAGTACCCACCTATACTCGGTCGGGTATTACTAGAAAACCAACATACTCGGGGCCCTGTCTCCAGTACCCGATCGGGATATAGTGGTACTCGATCGGGTACACCTGCGATTTAACCCCAAAACACTTCATCTTCCCCAAATCCCTAACCCAATTTCGAAACCCTCTTCCCCAACCTCCATTTTCAAACCTTCTCTCTACCATATCTCCCTCATTTCTCCATCAAATCACCTCATTCCACCACCAAAACACTCCCCTCACTCTCCTCTACACACCCATACCCACAAAATCCAATTTCTCCCCAAAAAATCCCAAGTCCGAAAACCCTCACCCATTTTCGGATTTTCCCAATTTCAAGCTCCAAATCTACAAAAATGGCACCAAGGAAGGACAAAGGGCAGAGCTCCAATGCTATGGCACCCATCCCGGGCTACGAGGACCTCATACCCGCCGACAACGAACACCGAGCTCAATTCCTCACCACCATGACAAGGCAAGTAAAACCTTCTCGTTTTCTATGCCATGATGCTCTCCGGGAATTAGGGGTGTATAAGAGTACTAGAAAATTCTTTCATGAGTTGGGCATGGACCGTATTTTCAAAATGAAATACAACTCTAATGAACGAATTATCTATGAATTCATGAGTTCGGTGCAGTTTGAAAGCGATGAGGCTGACTTTAGGGATGATAGACTCAAGTTTGGTCTGTTTAACCAAAACTATTCAATAACAAAACTTGAGTTTGCCGAACATTTCGGCATCCCCGTTCCCTACGAAAGAGCCATCTCCGATAACACTGTTTTCGGGCATTCCCTGTGGACAAAGATGACCGGGGAAGTGAAATTCAGCTCCTCCCAATTGTATATTAGTAATGTCCAACACCCCGTCCTTTGATTGTTCTTAAAATTTCTAGCACATTGCTTGCTTGGGCGCCCCAACAACCAGCACACTAGGATAGGGGACGTATGTTTGATGTCTATAGCCTTATTCCGTCGTCATGTGGACTTTAATCTGTGCAATCTTATGTGGGCACATTTGAAAAAGGAAAGCAGAGCGAGAGGGGCCATTGTTGTGGGTGGGGTGATCATGCACTTGGTGAGTAAGTTCGGGTATACAGATAACTCTCCTATACCCGACTATTGTTTGATGGATATGGCTTGGTTAGGCCGTTCGGGATGCACAGCTTTTTCCCATACGGTTTATGATGGGGAACAATCGAAAAACATGTACAACTGGATCATACACTTCCAACCTATCAAACACTTCCTAATGCCTAGCCCAGACCTCCCCAAAATACTCTACAAATCGGAGGTAGAGGTGCCCCACTACCTCTTCCCACACGCCCTTCTACCAAATCTCCAAGAACCTCAACAAGACCAACCCGAGGGCGGGCCTTATGCCGGACCCCATGATCATGAAGACATGGACGCGGACATCCCCGAAAAAAACCAAGTCCCTCCACCACCCGATTACTTCCAACAACTACTTGAAGGATTCAACAAAATTACCGACAAAGTTGGAAAGTATCGGGAGGAACAAAGGGCGGGATTTCAAAGACTTGAGGAGCAACGGGCCGAAGACAACCGGAGGTACGAAGAAGATCAACGTAGGTTCTATGGACCTATGTACTCTTACATGGCGCATCAAAGCTCATTCCATACTATGGCTCAACCACCCCCACCTCCCTCTTGGTATGACCCCACTCATTGGGGTAACTTTGGAGGATCTAGCTCCGGGGGTGGAGGTTATGATGGCGGGGACGGCGGAGATGCTCAATGGGCGACGGGAGCTTTGGAGGCAGCTACTATGGTGGCGATGGTGGGCACTAGGGACAGTGCTTGACATAAGTGTGGGGAGGAGACTCATCATGGGTATGTAATCTTATTTTCTACCTTTTACTATGTATAAATTTCTTTAAAAAAAACAAAAAAAAAAAAAAAGAAAAGAAATGCTAGTTAGGTTGAAAACCCAACGAAATGGGCAATCTAAGCAAAAAGGGCTTATAAAAAATGAGTGAGTGGGGAGAATGGAAAATGAAAAGAGATGCTAGGATAAAAACTTGAAAAGGCTCCTAGGCAAAATGAGAGAAATATTTGTTTTTGCAGGCACTCATTTGATCTCTTTGGAGAATAAGAAGAAGAGAGGAGGAGAAGAGAAGATGAGCACTAGAAGGCCATAAAACCCAAGATGATATTTGCAATTTGAGCATTAAAACTAATGTTTTATCCTTGGTGGTCTTTGTGTTTTTATCTTGTTGAAACTTTGGAAGACTTGACACTTGTGAACATTTGACTTTACTCGAGGACGAGTAAAGAAACTAAGTGTGGGGGAGTTGATAATCATGTAATTTCCATGTTTGTGATTTTAAGTAGTTTTGATTGATTTTCACTTTGGAAATTACACACTTTTGGTGTAATAGTTTAGTTTATTAAATTCTTGTAAATTGTTTAGATTAGGTTTATTCTGAGCTCAAACAGGTCTACTATCACTCAAAGGACAGTTGGTGAACCCCAAAAGTGGAAGGAAGGTGCAAAATCACAAGACAAAGGGAAGATCCTGATTTTTTGGTCTATACCCGGTCGAGTATCATCTATACTCGATCGGGTATCTTGTTGAAATTTCAAATCGGATCGGATCTGAAGACTAAGGAACATGCAGGGAAGATTTTGACCACAATCGAGTGTCTATACCCGATCGAGTACACCGACATACTCAATCGGGTATGTATATAAATAATACTCCGAATTCGATCGAGTATGGGTCGAATTCGAGTTTCTACACATACTCGATCGGGTACCTGTATATACCCGATCGAGTACCCGAACTGCATCCCTAAAAAGCCCATAAATACACCCCCTTTCCTTCACAATTAGAGACCAATTCACATATACTTCTTAGCTCAGTTTAGACAAGTTCTTTCTTTATATTTTTCATCATGTTTAGTCTCCAAATGAGGAGCTAAACTCTTCCATCTTGATTTTGCTACTTTGATGCTTAATGATTTGTAAGTTGTGAGCTATTTTCTTTAATCTTCTTCCTTGAATATTAATTACTACCTATTCATATTCCATATTAATATCTTGAGCATTACTTAAAGGATCAACTAGTTTTGTTTCATGTATTAATTATTACTAGAATCAATCGGTTAATACGCTTGTTATTAATTCGGTTCTTTCAATGGTAGTAAACTTGGATTGTTAATGCATGCTTCTCATGGTTAATAAGCCAAGAGGAATTAATTATATTGTTTAAACCAAATAAACCGCTTGTGTTGAGGTTATCAATCTCAATCGTTTTCATCTTAAGTTTATTGCTACTATCAAGTTAATATACGGCACTTGTTCTATATTGACTCGATAGTAAGTTTTATTAATGAACGCATCTCGTTATTAATAACTACCCTCGATGAACTGGATATACTCCTCGATTGAGTATTTGAGAGGAAGATAGTTAAAGATATAACCGGGATCGACGAACATTTCATTAAGTGGATAAAAGCAAAACCAAGTCTCCTTCTCATTAATTAAACCACATAACTCGTTCATCTTCGTGCTTAAATATTATTTAAGTTCATCAACCAATCATAAAAACCCCCCATTGTTACTTATTTCTAATTCTATAAAAAGAGAATGTGTTCCTTTCCCTGTGGATACAAACCTTACTACACTATACTACGTATTAGTGTCGTATTGATATTTATTTTGAGTGCACACACGACAAAGTGCACGTGTATCTTAACACATGCCATCTAAGAACTAGATTTTACATATAAGCAGCATTCTTTTTTTTTTTGAATTGATCATATGATAACTGTTTGTACAGATACCTAATGAGGATCCTCCTAGTGGTATATTCGCCATGAAGAACAGTGCAGATACACATACTCTTCTTGTTGAAAATAGAACAGATCAAACCTTTTTTTGAAAACGGAAGGCTTTTGCAATTTGGAAACAGTACAGAGAAATCTGAAAATGACAAAATTAAACAAGAGGAATCAATAATTCCTGCCATGGATGTCAGCAGGTTGTGCTTTTCAAACCTTAACCAGCAATCTCCCAAAACTTCTTTACTTGAAAAGGCAGAAAGTTGCATACCGAATACGACACTTAAGGATCAGCTATCTCTAAATTTCTTTTTGACCACACCCATGGGCAATTCAGGCTCTATACTACCCATTTCTTCTGGGGTTTCTCCATTCCAACAAGGGCAGACAGCACACAATATCTTTCCAAAGGCCCCTAAAGCTAGCTCAAGTTCGGGGTTTGAATCAAAATGTGGAATATCTACACTGACAGGTGTTGCAAGGCCATCGTCTGAAGGGAGGAGCAGTAAGAATCAGTTCCTGCCTAGATATTGGCCCAGGATTACAGACCAAGAACTGCAGAAACTATCTGGAGAGTATCCATCCATTATGTATTAATTATCATGTATCAATTCATGCTAGCCAACCCCAAAATCTTTTGGGACCAAGGCTTGGTTGTGGTTGTTGTTGTTGTTGTTGAGGGGTGGGATTACCTGACTAAAAGCCACAAACCGACCTGCACTGAACCGAAATTTCAAGTAAATCAGTTTAATTGTTGTTCTGGGCAGTCTAGATTTAGTATTCGTCCTGAACCCGACCAGATTTTAAAATGCAAAAACCCAGACCAGCTAGCCTTCTTTCATTCCTACAATAATATAATCCGGTATGTAGTCCCAACAAAAAACTGACCCATCCCGCCCCGGTTCCACCACTAATCATTCTTGGATTAAGTCCGTCTTCCATTTAAGCAGTCCACTTTGTTATACCTTTACTTTTTCACTTTAAGCTTGAAATCCAGTATAGTGCCTTTGTTCGAAAAGGTTCTGAGTGCCAGTGATGCTGGTCGGATTGGTCGTTTGGTCATCCCCAAAGCATGTGCTGAAGTATGTTTTTTATTTTATTTCGGTGTTTATTATGGTGTCCATCACTGCGTGGAAGGAAGGACTTCATGTAATCTGTTTATGCAGGCATATTTTCCATATATTACCCAGTCCGAAGGAATACCCATAAGGGTGCAGGACGTAAAAGGGAAAGAGTGGATATTTCAGTTCAGATTTTGGCCCAATAACAACAGCAGGATGTATGTTCTAGAGGGCGTTACCCCCTGTATACAGAATATGCAATTACAAGCTGGTGACACAGGTATCATCTTACAGTTAGCAATTACATTCATGGCCAGAGTTGTTAATGCTATTTACTCTGAGTGTTTTTTCTTCATATGTTTTTTACATCTTATTCAGTAGAGAGAAAGTGAAAGGGGGCTTTGGCACACCAGTTAAGGTGTTGCGTTGTTGCTATGTGACAGAGATGTCATAGCTTCAAGTCTGTGGAGTGCCCTCTTGTTCAAAATTTGACAGGGGAAGGCTTGCCCCATATAAACCCTTGCGGTGGGACCCTTTCCTGGACCCTCGCCTTGCGGGGATGCCTTTGTGCACCAGGTTGCCCTTTATTCAGTAGACGGAAAGCATGAACAATTTGCTACCTACTGTGTATGTACTTCTTAAAAGACAGAAATTGTAATATCATTTTTGTAGGAAGGTAATATCATTTTCATAGTTTTAGACTTTTAGTAGTAGTATTAAAGTTTCTTATTCCGAATAGGTTTAAGGTTTAAACTTCTTATTCCTACTGGGTTTAAGTCTCATTTTCCTACCGTGCTTGGGTGCATTAATTTTCTATAAGCATTACAATATTCTCTAGAAATTAATCACTTGCAAGTTCAAAGCCATATCAGTAAAACTAGTACTACCTCCGTCCCACTAACATTGGGACATGAGGAGGTGGTACGACCATTAATAAAAGTAGATTTATGTGGTTGATATTGAATTGATAAAGTAAGAATAAAGTAAGAATGATTTATAACCACACAAAATTTACCAAATTTAGTATGGGACAATCTTAGTGTGACGGACCGAAAAGGAAAGTTGGTACAATCTTAGCGGGACGGAGGGAATAGTTTATAATTTAACTGTATGAGTGGTTATTCTTGATTTCTCTACAATCTCTTATTATCTGGTCTATTGTGACGGAGATTATGTGAGTGGCATCCCTAATTAATCCAAAAGGTAGTGAATTGAGGCCACTTCCATTAGATTGCCGTTACCTTCTATTTTATGAGCCTTTTTAGTCTAGAAAAACTAGATGTGTACCCATAGATGCCTCTAAATTCTTTACCTTCTTTGACTGAACACATAGTTTAAGAAAATGAAAGCTATATGAACAATATGGTTGAGATTTGTTTAAAAAACAGAGAAATTATATGAACCATATATCGCTTTCCTTATAAGGATGGGATTAATATGAACGGAAAATAACAATTAACGGTAACCACCGTTGACAAAACTCAAGAGCTTAACACACACAAATTCTTATTCATAAAACATAGTTTGAAAGCCCCTTTAGGGGGTATAAATAGACAACTTATCCTTGGATAAAGGAAACTCCTAAATTATTGATATTAGGAAATAAACTGAAAATAATTTAGGAAACTCCTAAATTATTGATATTAGGAAATAAACTGAAACTAGGAAACTAATTAAAAGCCAATACTAATTAAATAAGAATTAAGCTAAATAACTCTTCACCGCGCGTGCAGCTCACGCGCGTGCAGCTCACGCGCGGTGATTTGGGCGTGCGGACTTCCGGTCACCGGTCGACGGCGGCAGGCGAACCAGAGGGACAGTTGTTGGACTAAGGTTATGAACTAAAGTGTTTTCTGACGTTCTGCTAAGGTTCTGAGACTGGATGTTCTGCTGAGGTTCTGAGAGTGAGGATGTTTGCTGAGGTTTGGAAAAAGGTTCTGGGAAAAAAAAAATAATCTGGAAAGAGACTAAGATCGGAAGATTCTTGAAAACTTTGGACTGAAATCAAGAGCTTAGAGAAAGAAGGATTTTGAAAACTAAACTGAAATGGATGGCTCTGATACCATGTTAAAATATAAACTAGAATAATATTGAAAGTGGATGAAAGATTTTCTGTATATTTCATTGAAGGGTAAGGCCCTATAAATATAGATTACAAAGATAGAATATTCCTATAAAAGATGCTATACAATAATACTATATATGGTATATTCCTAATATATTCTAAAGCATATTCTAAAGTATATTCTAATATACTTTTACACTCTTCATCCAGCCTGGCCCACGGATGTGGGCTTCTCCCGACCCCGCCTGCGATAAACAATCAAGGGCCTGCGGCCCTCTGCTTCTTCGTCTTCGGTCGCACGCGTCTGCTCCGTATCAAATGCATCCTCCTTTGGAAGAACCTTGTCCTCAAGGTTGAAATCAGGAAATTGACTCAAGAAGCTTGTTTTATTCATCCAAGTTGCCTCGTCCGTAGACTGTCCAGCCCATTTAACCAACAATTCCTCTTTTTTGTCATTCTTCTTCCTTGTAGCTAATATTTCCTCAGGCTCGAACACTGGACTCACAGGTAATTCCAAGCTTTCCGGTAGCTCACTCTCCACCGGGTGATCACCAATTACCTTTCTCAGCTGAGATGTATGGAAAACCGGGTGAATACGGCTAGTGGCAGGTAGTGCCAGGCGATAGGCTGCCTCCCCAATTCGCTTTTCAACCTTAAATGGCCCATAGAATTTTGCTGACAGTTTGTTATATGGTTGGCGAAATAGAGTTGTTTGTCGATGAGGCCTTACCTTTAAAAACACCTTTTCTCCAGCTTGAAAAACCACATTGCGACGGTGTTTGTATGCCTGTGTCGCCATGCTTTGTTGAGCCTTTTGCAGGTTCTCCTTTAGCCGCCTTAGCATAACATCTCTGCTGCCGAGAACCTCTGCCACGGCTGCCACACTGCTTTCTCCCGGCAAAAATCTTCGAATAGATGGGGGTGGCCGTCCGTACACTACCTCGAATGGGGTAACTCTGGCTGCAGTCTGAAAAGCGGTATTATACCAATACTCTGCCCAACTAATCCAGCGTATCCATTGCCTCGGCTGCTCACTTGTGAAACAACGAAGGTAAGTCTCTAATACGCGATTCAACACCTCCGTTTGTCCATCCGTTTTTGGGTGATAAGCCGAGCTAAATTTCAGTTGAGTGCCGGACAACTCAAACAATTCCTTCCAAAATGTGCTAATAAATAGTGAGTCCCGGTCGCTAACAATTGAGCGTGGGATGCCGTGCAACCTAACCACCTCTTTAGAAAAAACTTCCGCAACCGAACAGGCTGTGACGGGACCTTTTTAAGGGAATAAAATGTCCGTATTTTGACAGTCGATCTACCACCACTAAAATAGACGTATACCTCTTTGATTTAGGCAGACAAGTGATAAAATCCATGGAAATATCTTCCCAAATTAAGTTGGGAATTGGTAAAGGCTGCAATAATCCCGCGGGTGATAAAGTCTCGTATTTGGCTTTTTGACAAACCAAACATTGTGCCACGTAATCTCGTACTCGTCGAAACATTCCTTTCCAATATACATTCATGGAGTCTTCTGTACGTACGATAGGCCCCTGCATGTCCTCCGGTTGGCGTGGCATGAAATTCTTCCAGTAATCGTGGTATCCAACTTGAATTAGTTGGCAGGACCAGTCGGCCCTTGAAAAATAGCCGCCGTCCTGTTACTTCATATCCTGGCGCTTTTGCCGGGTCAACAGCCAGTGCCTCCACAATTTCTTGCAAGACCTTATCCCTCCGCTGCTCTTCCTCTACATCGGCCAGACCCATCCATTCTGGAATGCTTACTGCCGCCAATTCTACTTCCTTTCCTCTTCTAGACAGAGCATCGGCAGCTGCGTTGGAGATGCCAGTCTTGTATTCAATCTCAAAGTCGTAACCCAATAATTTTGCTACCCACACTTGCTGGGAAGGAGTTGCTATGCGTTGAGTGAGCAGGTGTTTGAGACTCCTATGGTCGGTGCGCACGATGAATTTCCGACCAATTAAATATGGCCGCCAATGTTGCACGGCCAGAGCTAATCCCATCATCTCTCTTTCGTAGGCGGATTTGGATAAAGTTCTGTCAGATAATATTTTGCTATAATACGCAATGGGCCTTCGTTCTTGCATAAGAACCGCTCCAATTCCCGTTCCGGATGCGTCACATTCTACCACAAACAGTCGGTCAAATTGTGGGATGGCTAACACGGGTGCTTCCGTTAATGCCTTCTTGAGTTGCCGGAAGGCCTCCTCGGCCTCTTCTGTCCATCGGAAACAAGTTAAGACTTCCTTTTTTAAAAGCCCTGTAAGCGGTCGTGCGATCTGTCCATATCCTGTAACGAACCTCCGGTAGTACCCTGTTAGCCCGAGAAATCCTCGAACCTCCCGGGCTGTCTTCGGCCGAGGCCATGATATCACTGCATTGACTTTGGCCGGATCCATAGCTACTCCTTCCTGCGAGATTATGTGCCCTAGATATTCCACCTGAGGCTGGCCGAAAGTGCACTTCTTTCTATTAGCTTTGAACTGATTTATTTTTAGAATGCTCAGAACCTGACTCAATTGTTCTCGGTGCTCGGCCCATGAACTGCTGTATACCAAGATGTCGTCAAAAAACACCAATACGAATTTTCGTAAGTATGGCCGAAATAAATCATTCATGACTGCTTGAAAAGTGGCCGGTGCGTTAGTCAATCCGAACGGCATTACTAAAAATTCATAATGCCCACTGTGAGTACGAAAAGCGGTCTTGTGGATGTCCGGATCAGCCACCCTGATCTGATGATACCCGGAACGTAAGTCAATCTTTGAAAAGACCATAGCGCCGGCCAACTCGTCTAACATCTCCTGTATTACCGGAATAGGGTACTTGTCTGGCACTGTTGATTCATTCAACTCCCGGTAGTCTACGCAGAAACGCCAGCTGCCATCTTTCTTTTTGACCAACAAAACCGGACTGGAAAAGGGACTGGAACTGGGCTGAATAATACCGGCCTGAAGCATCTCGTTGACTAATCTCTCAATTTCATCCTTTTATAAATGACCGTACCGGTATGGCCGAACTGAAACTGGTTTTGCCCCAGGTTCCAACTCGATACGGTGATCCCTAGTTCGGCGTGGTGGCAGCCCCTGCACTTCTGCAAAAACCTCCGTATGCTGACTGAGGATATCATCTAGTGAATCCGTTGTTGCTTCCTTCCCCTTACTAGCTTCCCTGATGAGGACAATTGCACTGAACTCTCCGTCTGCTGTCTTAAGTAAAGACCGTAAACTAACTGCATTTTTGCACATCGCGGGATCTCCCTTTAACTCAACCTTCTTGCCGTTAAGTTTGAACTGCATGGTTAACTCTTTCCAATTTGTCTGCACCTCCCCCAAAGTTGCTAACCAAGCAACTCCTAGTATGAGATCCACTCCTGCCAACGGGAAGACAAAACAATCAGCCTTGATAGCACATCCCGGTAAGTTTATGGAAAGTTGACGGCATACTCTTTCGGATTCCTGTCTATGCCCATCCCCTAATTGCACTCCAAACCTGCCAGTCTTGTCTTGTTTTAGTCGTAATAGAGATACCAAGGAAGAAGATACAAAATTATGACTGGCACCACTGTCAATCAAGACTGTGGCCGTGCACCCCCCAATCATCCCGCGGAGCCTCATAGTCTGAGGGCTGAAAATTCCGGCCATGGCATAGACTGGAAAATCTCCCTCTTGTCCCTCGGGAGGGTCGTCGTCTCGCGGAAATTCCTCCTGCCCCGTTATGTCGCAATAATCATATTGCTGTAAGTCCAACTCTTCGTCGTCGTCTGCTAGCATCACCCTTAACTGTTTTAATGGACATTCGTGTCCCGGTGAGTAGGGTTTCCGACATTTGAAACACAGTCCTCTGGCGCGTAAATCATCGTAAACCCTTGGGGGTATTCGAGTAAACCTGGAGCGTTCCGTGGCCTGCCCCAATGTTCCGGACGTGGTCTCGGTTACTGGTGGTGTGGTCCCCACTATTGGCCCAGTTGTTTTCGGCAAGCTGCCCCCCTGGACACGCGAACTGCCGTTACTCGTAGTTGAAAGCATACCCGGGTTTGGACGTGGATAGCTGTTTATTCGAGACCCGGTTGAGTTAAAATTTGGTCCGCCTCTCCCTCCATTCTGAATGGCCAGATTGTGCTCGACATCCCCGGCCAACTCCATTGCCGTTTCCAGGCTCTCAGGTCGTAATAAACGTAGCTCGCTTCGGATTGCTTCCTTGAGACCACTCATGTAATAACCCAAATAGTGATCATCAGACAATCCCGAAACTTGGCTTGCTAATTGAACAAAAAGAACATTGTATTCCTCAACGGACCCTGTTTGTTTAGCTCCGGATAACCGTTCGAATTTATTCCCTTTATACCGGGAATCAAACCTGGTTACCAAGGCTTGTTTAAAATCCTCCCAGCCCATACTCGGCTTACGTGATTTGAGCCATGTTGCCCAGTAGAGCGCTCCTCCTTCCATAGCTACCATTGCGGCAGCCACTTTCTTTCCCGGGGGAGAGTTGTGTAATTCGAACTGCTGTTCTGCCCGTGCTAACCACCCGATGGGATCCCCCCCATCGAATGACGGAAGTAATGTTAGCGTTGGATTGCCCAGCCCGTTGTCGCCCTGCTGCGCGGTTACCACGATGCCACCTCCACCACCGGCGGTTGTCTTCGGCACTATCGGCGGTACTAGTGCCTGGGTCAACGCTGCCAGTGAGGCGGCAATCTCCTCCAGTTTTGTACCATGATTACTGAGTGTCTGGTTTATGGCCACCAGTTGCGTGCCATGGTCTTCGAGGGTTTGGTTTGTTCGGGTTTGTTCGGCCCCCAGTCGGGTTACTTCTTCGCCCGTGCGACTTTGTTCGTTCTCCAATTCTTGCAAACGTTCACTTTGAGATCTTGTCATTGTGGCGGGACGGGATCCGGCAGGTCGGACCAATTAATATGAACGGAAAATAACAATTAACGGTAACCACCGTGGACAAAACTCAAGAGCTTAACACACACAAATTCTTATTCATAAAACATAGTTTGAAAGCCCCTTAGGGGGTATAAATAGACAACTTATCCTTGGATAAAGGAAACTCCTAAATTATTGATATTAGGAAATAAACTGAAAATAATTTAGGAAACTCCTAAATTATTGATATTAGGAAATAAACTGAAACTAGGAAACTAATTAAAAGCCAATACTAATTAAATAAGAATTAAGCTAAATAACTCTTCATCCAGCCTGGCCCACGGATGTGGGCTTCTCCCGACCCCGCCTGCGATAAACAATCAAGGGCCTGCGGCCCTCTGCTTCTTCGTCTTCGGTCGCACGCGTCTGCTCCGTATCAATGGGCTATAAATTTGGGATGGAGGGAGTAAATTATTAATTTGCTAAATACTGAAGATGGGTGGAGATTGTAGAGTATCACTGTCATTTAAGAACCAAAACTCTTTGAACATATATATTTGTTTACCTGCTGTTGTTATTATATGTTTGTTTTCCAAAGTCTACATGTTACTCTGCATTATTGCAACAGTTACTTTCAGTAGAATAGATCCTGGCAGGAAACTATTTATGGGCTTCCGGAAGGCAGTGAATTATGCTGAAACACAGGTCGGTCTTCAGATTAAACTTACAATAAGTCTCAAATTTTTAACTTTTTAGAATCCTATTAAAATGGTTTTTTTATGTATTACAAACAGGATTCTCAAAATGCAACCATTGCCAATGGTGGATGTTCTCCTGAAAGTCCAGATTTTGCTCCCACTGAAAACTGTGCTACAGTATGTCATCTTCTACCAGTCACTATTTCCTTCGTAACTCCATTTGTACCATGGGCATCTGAGTAACTGCTTTTTTTGGCTTGTTTACTTCAATATTCTCCTAATTGAATAGTCATGTCAGTACTTTTGCTTATATTTCATACAATTTTATAAAATTTTAATTTAAATAATTTTAATCTTGACTCATTTTAAGCTATCCAACACTGGCTCAATATAAATATACTAACTAGCATAGCATATAGGGCCTTGTGCTACTGCCCCTATAAGGACTAACATGTAAGATTGGTTTCTCCAATGAGCCACCATCTTACATGGAATGTTATGTTACCTCATAAGAACCAACTATAAAGATACAAGCAATCATATAAGGTTGTGCCACTGATACTCCTCACAAGTAAACATTTTAAGATGAAACTTAAAAAATTTAATACCTCATTACATCGGTAAGACTCTTAAAACGGGACCAAGGGAATATCTTTTTCTTTCAAAAAAATAGTTTTCTAACAAGATGCTTCTGGATTTCAAAAACATGAAAAGAATGTAGGAAAAGAAACTGATGATTCCTTGCAAATAAATGTGATCGTTCCCGAAAAGAAAATTAAGAAAACAGGGAGCAAAAATAAGAGGCTCTTGCTAAACACTGAAGATGCTATAAAGCTGAAGATCACTTGTGAAGAAGCTCGGGATTTGCTCCGCCCACCTCCAAATGTTAATCCAACCATTGTTGTGATTGAGGACTGTGACTTTGAAGAATATGATGTAAGTCTCATATATTTTGGGCTCAACTAACTGCATATTCTTTCTTCTTGATACCCTCATATGGCACTAATTAGAAGAACAAAATATTTCTGCAATCTAGGAACCACCCATTTTTGGAAAGAGGACGGTCTTCACCACTGCATCATCTGGGTAAGGAGAGCTATGATGCAAATATATTGTAATATATGATAAATGCCATCTCTCTAGACTCGATTGAAAAGTCTAATTCGGAGTTTTGACCCCTTTTATCCATTTTGACATCTTACTACTACCCTCTTATTTAGAGAGAGGGGGATGCTTAGAAAATTTATTTTCCTGTGTTTCCTTTTTACCTAAAAAATGCAAAGGAAAATGAAATATGATTAATGTTCTTAATAAAAAAAATTGTATCTTTAGATTTCTTAGTCTTTATACAAAACACCCCTATAGAATATTAGATTGGAAACATATATATACATTCTAATCATTGTCCTCTTGATTGCCTTCCAGTCGGAAAGTTAATGTATATAAAGAATGAATTAGTTTCAGACAGTTTCACTGCCTGCGATGTATGTTCATTAACTTGCCCTCTCTTTTTGAGGGGGAATTTACCCTTTAATTTCAACAGAGAAGTATCTTATGTAGGGAGCAGGGACAGTGGGCCCAATGTGACAGTTGCTTCAAATGGCATAGGCTGCCTACACACGTTCTCCTTCCAGCAAACTGGACTTGTTCTGACAATACTTGGGACTCAAACAGGTTCATACCTTCCCACCTAATATCTTTAATATAGCGAAGAGGTTGAGGCATTTTTATATGTATCTTATTGGTAATTTGTGATATGTAGTAGTATCAAATGGATGGAAGGATTGTTGTGGATATATGAGGAATCACTTTTGTCAACTAAATGAAAAAATGTAGGACCACTTCTTTCATTTTCCATTTCTCAGTGAAATGTTTTTGTCTTGGGGCTTGTTTGGATGGGGAACTTTTCGGAAGGGAGGGGATGGCAGGATTGACTTTTATATACTCCTATATGGAGTACTAATTTATCTCTATTTATTAATCTTATGCTAAAAAATAACTATGATATATGTTTAGTAGCAATAAAACTTTAGAGAATAAGAACGGAAAAGTTGTCTGCTGCTTTGACTCACTGTGTGGACATTTGCTTTCAGATCTTCTTGTTCTGCCGCAAGTGAGATGAATAAAAAACAACTTGATTCATTCCATAGAGCTTGCAACAAGGGTATGAATTACATATATATGATCTCAACTTTTCGTAATATAATGATGTTTTTGTCATTATCCGGCCCCTTGTTTTTGTCTTCAATAAAAAAAATTAGTATTGCATGAGATGACTGTTTTACACGAGAAATGAAATAAAAACTTCTGAACTAAGTAAATGAAATGCTCACTCCCCCATAAGTAAAATCACCCCGATGTATGGAAGTCTACATCCAGATTTACCATGTACCCTCTTGTGTTGTATAATCTGTAGCTAGATGATAGCGAAGTTTGGCTATTTTCCCCCAATTGATCCCGTAACTTTCTTTTCCTATCTATTTATTCCCAGGAGAAACCAAAAGAGGAAGAGTCTCGGAAAGTGGCAATGATTGTGAGACTTATGCTGGCCTAGATGCGTTAGCATGTATTGCAGTGTTGGGAGATGACAGCATTGGCGGTGGTGGTGGTGACTTGGGGGCTAGCGAGCCTTCTACCACAAAGCATCCTCGGCATCGGCCTGGTTGCACTTGCATTGTTTGCATCCAACCACCCAGCGGGAAGGGCAAACATGATCCCACCTGTAAATGTATTGTTTGCTTGACCGTCAAACGCCGGTTTAAGACTCTCATGCTGCGTAAGAAGAAGAAAAAATCCGAACGTGAAGCAGATATTGTGCAAGAGAAGGATAAAACTCTTCCAGACATTGATGTTTCTATTGATGGACCCAGTTTGGTGCAACATGCGTGTTATCCAGAGAATGATGACTATCCAAACGGAGATCGTGGGAATAGCAAGGGGCAGTTGGACCTGAACTGCCATCCTAATGAGAGCCAGGCACCTGAAGGGTAGGGCAACATACAAACATATACTACGTACTACGTATGTGTTTACATATTCTTTCTATCGATTTGTGCAGGGTACGAGCATTCCTTTTGTTTTTAGTTGGGTTTCCTGGTCTTGTATGAAAGTTTACATCATTGTATACTATACTCTGTATGATGCGACACACAGCCCCTATTGGTGTTAAATTTTCTAGGTAGGATTGCCTTCGTTGTATTGTACATGGGAAGTTGCTAACATGGGGTCACTTTTGTCTTCCACTACGTGTTCATTATGAGAAATCTCATATGATTTAATTTTGTAACTTGTTACGCGTTGTGTTTTTCAATTATTTAATTGAATTTGTCACATCTAACTTATCTTTAATTTCCTTTTGCAGTTTTAACGAATATTCATTAATTTTGATATAACAACTGTTTATCAGTTTATGGTCAAATAAGTAGTTTAAAGTTGTGAAATTAGCTTGTAAAACAACAATGTTCCCTTTAGGGAACCCTATTACTCTGCAAGTTTAGGAGTTCACCTAGTTCCAGAACCAACCCATAAAGAAGCAGATTGGGCATTTTCAGTTTAAACGATTAACTGTTCAAACAAAATATTTATCATTGTTTTTTATCATTGTTTGTATTCATCAAAGCCGGTCTGATATAGGGGCAGCCCAGGCTGCTCCCAGGGCTCACTGTTGTTCGCACAATAATCACGCAAAATAATCACATTTTATTGTTCTCACCGAAGTTGAAACTATTTAAGAAGACGAAAGATCCCAAGTCCCAACTTTGAAATTTGAAAGTCGTTAACTCAGGGAGTCGGGGCTTTAGTTTTTATAACACCGAAGAGATAGAAGAAGTATTCGGTTCATCTTTTGACTTGTGTTAATCCATGCTTCTTCAATCTTTATTGAGTCCTCAATGTTTTATTCCAACCAATTTATATTTTCGATCTAAGTATAACTAATTGATAATTATTCCAACCAATTTATATTTTCACCAATAGTTTTGCTATTGTTAGAGCTCTTTAATTACATTAAAATTGACTATGTCGTCTGCATTTGCTAAAATTTGTGAAATTTTGACTCAAAGAGCTAAATTTGTTCAAATTTTTGAAATTATGGTTGAAATAGTTGAATCGACTAAATTTGCTAAATTATGAAAAAGTGAAAAACTATATTTAAAATATATTTTATTAATAAAATAAATTAACTTGGTCAATATAGTGATGAAAGTAATTTGAACCTTATTTATTTTGATTATAGTGTAATTCAGTGTGTGAAATAAATAGTTAAATGATTTTTAAAAAGTTAGAGGATAAAGATAATAAGGTGAAAAAAAATTACTCTAGTTATGATGGAATTATCTACGTACTTACCATATACTCAGTTCGTATACCATGCAACCGTCCCACGGTGCGCATGGTATACCTGGGAGAGCGAAGTAGCAGTTTGTATATTTTGGCTTTGTTATTTTTTATTTCTCCTTTTTTTAAAAATGTTAGTAATTTTTTTATTTTTGATCCGATTTTTATAAAATTTATATCAAATTTTTTTATTTTTCATGATCTTTCAAATAAGACCAATATTGCCTATGTAATTTTAACATATTAACATTTGCGTGTAAAAATATGTAACTTTACGTGTTAAAATATGTAACTCACGTTCAATCAGGCAAATGCAACTCATGTGTATAAATATGTAACTCTACGTGCAAAAATATGTAACTTTACGTAAAAAAATATGTAACTCGCGTTGAGACATGTCAAATGCAACTCGTGTGTATAAATATGTAACTCGCGTGTATAAATATGTAACTTTACGTGTAAAAATATGTAACTTGACGTGTAAATATATGTAACTCGCGTTCAGGCAGGTCAAATGCAACTCGTGTGTATAAATATGTAACTCGCGTATATAAATATGTAACTTTACATGTAAAAATATGTAACTTGACGTGTAAATATATGTAACTCGCGTTTAGGAATTGATCCTTCTGACAACAAAGTCATTCATATACAGAGTATGCTACACCATTTCATCCTTGTGCACCCTAAACATTTATGTCGGTGAAACAATAGCAGAACAATCGCGAGCAGAGTAAGTTCCATTAGCTTTGGATCCTTTATCACAACAAATATATGAGACCAGCAACAACAACAACGTCCAGGTTAACAACCTCCTGAATGGATCTGCGTTGGAGATGGAATTTCTACAGATGGAGTTGCGAATTTTGCGGCGGCGTTCAACACAGCAACAGCGGAATATCTAAATAATAACCAGGAGGGAGACGACCTTTCAATTGCAGATTGAGACCATAAATTGGAACTCAAGGAGGGCGACGGCAGCTAGACGGCCATATGCGAACTGGCGGTGGCGGAAGCGGAAGCGCGAAGCAGAGTAGAGGGGGTATTATCCCATCGCTACGTATTCCATCGCTGCACTCCAAGATAGATGTGTTTTGATTTTTTTAACAAAAACGATGCCGTTTTGGGATGAGTACACCTTGAAGAAGGTGCACCGATCCCATGGTATAATTTGCCCCATATACTCCGTATGAAAATCATAATATAAATTAAAGCATTTAAAACTTAAATATTACTCATATGTGTAGGACTAAAATATAGAGAGTCCAGTAGGACTATCATTATTTTCTTCTTAGAATAGGACTAAAACTTTGAGTCCGTTTGATAATTCATATTTCAGTTTATCAGCTTCATTGATCCATTTTTTATTAAACACCCCCAATTTCATTTTCGCGTACAAAATTGTGTAAGAATCAAAATAAGTAAGATTGAGATTGTTTTGCGTGCTGAAGTTATTATAGAGGATTCATTTAGCTATTTTTTATAATTCAGCTAATTCAACCACTTTAACTAACATTTTATCGATTTCAACAGATTCAACCAATTCACTCAATTTCAATGTTATCCTAGAGAAACTGAGAAAGAGCATAAGTAGGATCATCATTATTTGCTTTCTAAAATTAAAGAGGATTCACTCACTACTAATTAAGGAAGTTTTATAGTTTTGATAAGATCAAGTATTATTTTGGAGTAAAATATAAGTAGTCCTGTTGGTTTGTTTTATCTATATTATTAAGAGCCATTTGGTAATACCAAAATCGGCTGTATTGGCCGATTCTGCTCATTTATGAAAAAATTATATTTAAAATATATTTTATTAATAAAATAAACAAAAAATTATATGAAAAATAGCTAAAATGACGTTCTACAATAACTTCAATCAATACAGCAAAAAAAGTAACTTTAACCTTAGTTTTTCTTGTTATTACATAATTCAGCACGTGAAATCAAAAGTTACGTATTTGGTAAAAAAAATTAGCTGATAGGTATGAAACTGAAAAACATGATCACCAAACAAACTTTAAATCTAATTGGAGCAATTTTTTATATATGTTTAAGAAACCGGATTGGGAAGTGACCCGGCCGCGTGAATGGGTCACGGGTCAACCCGCTCAACGCTACAAAATCGGTTAATACGCTTGTTATTAATTCGGTTCTTTCAATGGTAGTAAACTTGGATTGTTAATGCATGCTTCTCATGGTTAATAAGCCAAGGGGAATTAATTATATTGATTAAACCAATAAACCGCTTGTGTTGAGGTTATCAATCTCAATCGTTTTCATCTTAAGCTTATTGCTACTATCAAGTTAATATACGGCGCTTGTTCTATATTGATTCGATAGTAAGTTTTATTATTGAACGCATCTCGTTATTAATAACTACCCTCGATGAACTGGATATACTCCTCGATTGAGTATTCGAGAGGAAGATAGTTAAAGATATAACCGGGATCGACGAACATTTCATTAAGTGGATAAAAGCAAAACCAAGCCTCAAATTTGACGTGCACTTTGTCGTGTATGCACTCAAAATAAATATCAATACGACACTAATACGTAGTATAGTGTAGTAAGGTTCGTATCCACAGGGAAAGGAACACATTCTCTTTTTATAGAATTAGAAATAAGTAACAAGGGAAGGTTTTATGATTGGTTGATGAACTTAAATTATATTTAAGCACGAAGATGAACGAGTTATGTGGTTTAATTAATGAGAAGGAAACTTGGTTTTGCTTTTATCCACTTAATGAAATGTTCGTCGATCCCGGTTATATCTTTAACTATCTTCCTCTCGAATACTCAATCGAGGAGTATATCCAGTTTATCGAGGGTAGTTATTAATAGCGAGATGCGTTCATTAATAAAACTTACTATCGAGTCAATATAGAACTAGCGCCGTATATTAACTTGATAGTAGCAATAAACTTAAGATGAAAACGATTGAGATTGATAACTTCAACGCAAGCGGTTTATTTGATTTAATCAATATAATTAATTCCTCTTGGCTTATTAACCATGAGAAGCATGCATTAACAATCCAAGTTTACTACCCTTGAAAGAACCGAATTAATAACAAGGAATTAATAACAAGCGTATTAACTGATTGATTCTAGTAATAATTAATATATGAAACAAAACTAGTTGATCCTTTAAGTAATGCTCAAAATATTAATATGGAATATTAATAGGAATTAATTAATACTCAAGGAAGAATATTAAAGAAGATGAATCCTAATATAGTTAATATCAAGATGTTGACTAATTGTCATCTTAGTAACACTCCCCAATATTAACATAGAGGAAGGAATAGCTATTACTATGATTACTGTCAAGATGTTAACTAATTGTCATCTTAGTAACACTCCCCAACATTAATATAGAAATAGTATTTAAAGGAAGAATTAATATTCAAGGAAGAAGATTAAAGAGAATAACTCACAACTTACAAATTCATTAAGCTTCAAAGTAGCAAAACCAAGATGGAAGAGTTTAGCTCCTCATTTGGAGACTAAACATGATGAAAAATATAAAGAAAGAACTTGTCTAAACTGAGCTAAGAAGTATATGTGAATTGGTCTCTAATTGTGAAGGAAAGGGGGTGTATTTATGGGCTTTTTAGGGATGCAGTTCGGGTACTCGATCGGGTATATACAGGTACCCGATCGAGTATGTGTAGAAACTCGAATTCGACCCATACTCGATCGAATTCGGAGTATTATTTATATGCATACCCGATTGAGTATGTCGGTGTACTCGATCGGGTATAGACACTCGATTGTGGTCAAAATCTTCCCTGCATGTTCCTTTGTCTTCAGATCCGATCCGATTTGAAATTTCAACAAGATACCCGATCGAGTATAGATGATACTCGACCGGGTATAGACCAAAAAATCAGGATCTTCCCTTTGTCTTGTGATTTTGCACCTTCCTTCCACTTTTGGGGTTCACCAACTGTCCTTTGA